TTGCTGCAGAATGTGGTCTGGCATTATCGTGTTGAAAAATGCAGGGTCTTCCCTAAAAGAGATGACGTCTAGATGGGAGCATATGTTGTTCTAGAACCTGAACATAGTTCTCTGCATTAATGGTGCCTTTCCAGACATGCAAGCTACACATACCACAAGCGCTCATGCAACCCCATACCATCAGTGATGCAGGCTTCTGAACAGAGCATTGATAACAACTTGGGCTATCCTTGTCCTCTCTGGTCTGGATGACATGACGTCCCAGTGTTCCATAAAGAACTTCAAATCGTGACTCATCTGACCACAGAACAGTCTTCCATTTTGCCACACTCCATTTTAAATTACCCCTGGCCCAGTGCAAACATCTGAGCTTGTGGAGCTTGCTTAGAAATGGCTTCCTCTTTGCACTGTAGAGTTTCAGCTGGCAACGGCGGATGGCATGGTGGATTGTGTTCACTGACAATGCTTTCTGGAAGTATTCCTGAGCCCATTCTGTTATTTCCTTGACAGTGGCATTCCGGTTTGAGGTGCAGTGACGTTTAAGGGCCCGGAGATCATGAGCGTCCAGTAGAGTTTTACGGCCTTGACCCTTACGCACAGCGATTGTCCCAGATTCTCTGAATCTTTTGATAATGTTATGCACGGTTGATGATAAAAACTTAAAAGTCTTTGCTATTTTACGCTGGGTAACACCATGCTGGTATTGCTGCACTATTTTTCTGCGCAACAATGGTGGAATTGGAGATCCTCTTACCATCTTGGCTTCTGAGAGACACTGACGCTCTGAGAAGCTCTTTTTATACCCAATCATGTTGTCAATTGACCTAATTAGTGTTAATTGGTCTTCCAGCTGTTCATTATATGCTCAATTTCCTTTTTCCAGCCACTTATTGCTACTTGTCCCAACTTTTTTGGGATTTGTTGACACTGTGAAATTTTGAATCAACATATTTTTCCTTTAAAAAGTTACATTTACTCAGATTAAACTTTTGATCTGTCATCTATTTATATTATGAATAAAATATTGACATTTGCCATCTCCACATCATTGCATTCAGTTTTTATTTACAATTTGTTTAGTGTCCCAACTTTTTTGGAATCTGGTTTGTATTTTGATTTTGTTATAAGACCATTAGAACAAAGTTGGATGTCGGATGATTTCAAAGAATGGGATGTAGGCATGAATGTATTTAGCATCACAAAATACTGACTTTGAGTATGTTCATTAGTATCTGTAAATAGGTCAATTGATATAAAATTTGATTAATCAACTTTTGCTACTAGAAAACAGACAAGACAGTGGATGGTTGAAATGATGAGCAGTTTTCATCAGATCTTAAATGTTGTTTTCTAACAGAATGTTAACAGTAAATATGCAAAAATCCTGTGGATACATCCATCATCCATGGTGAATGCTGTCATGCAAAAAAAAAAAAACTTTTACTTTTCATCAATTTCATGTTTTTGCATTTTTCAGTCAATTTATGGATGAGGAAAAGTATGAAAATGAGCTCAAGACAACACATTCTTTGTATCTTTGAAAACAGAATTTTGACAGTGATACACCTTCTGTCTGAATAAACAATGATTTGTGTAACAAAACCTCAAATTTGGTTTTATGTTGTAACAGTGTGTAAAAAATAAGATTTATGTTATCATATAGAATAAACTATTAGAATCGACTTGCATCGTTTTATTGATTCTGCCCTTGATAAAGGCGGCGCAGTGGCTCAGATAGTAGAGCTACCGCCTCTCAGCAAGAAGGTTGTTGGATCAAATCTCAGCCCTTTCTGGGTGGAGTTTGCATGTTCTCTTCGTGCATGCGTGGGTTTTCTCCAGGTACTCCAGTTTCCTCCCACAGATCAAAAACATACATGTTAGACTGATTGGTGACTCTAAATTGTCTCTAGGTGTGAGTGAGAGAATGAATGGTTGTTTGTCTCGTTTGTCTCTATGTGTCCCTGTGATGGACTGGAGACCTGTCCAGGGTGTCCCGGTGATGGACTGGAGACCTGTCCAGGGTGTCCCCCACCTCTCGCACAGTGATAGCTGGACATGGGGACCAGTGACTGCTGCGACCCAAAAAAGGAAGAAGCAGTTAAAGATAATGGATGGATTGATGGATGGATGGATGATCAGAGACTCTACTTCCTCAGGCGGCTGAGACGAGCTGGTCTGGGAAGCTCAGTCCTCACCTCCTTCTACAGGTGTGCAGTGGAGAGCATCCTGTGCTCCAGCATCAACGTGTGGCATGGAGGCTTCACAGCTGCAGAAAGAAAAGCTTTGCAGAGAGTGGTGAAGGCTGCACAGAAGCCTGTTGGAGTCAGTCTCCCCACCATCACAGACATCTACACCTCCAGATGCAGGAAGAGGACCACCTGCATCATGAAGAACCCCACTCACCCAGCACACACACTTTTTGCCTCACTCCCCTCATGAAGGAGGTTGAGGAGCATTAAGTGTAGAACCACTAGACTGAGGAACAGCTTATACCCTGAGGCTGTTAGACTCATGAATCTCTAACCAGAATAATCACTGTGAAAAATCACATCATGTTGCTGCTGATCTGTTTCATGTTGATGTGTTCATTCGTGCTCATCTGCTCACACAGACTCATGTTCGTGCTGATGTTTAACATAATGTTTTTTTGCCATTAGTGCTTACTGTATATTTAGTTGATGTTTTTCTTAGTTCATATCTTAGATCATATTATTGTTTTTCTTTTACATTTTTTTGTTTGGATGTAACTGGGACCCTGTGTGCACAATTTTGTTCCACCACATGTACCACATGGGGTGCGAACAACAAATAAAGAACCTTGAATCCTTGGATAATGAGAAAGTGAAAATCAGGTTAATGTTATATTTAACTGTTGGGAGGCAGAAAAAGGGTAGGGTTTCCTAAAAAAAAAAAACACTAAGGTGTTGCAACATAACTGGGAATTTATGGAATCATTGGAAACTGTTCAACAAACTTAAAAAAATAAAATAAAATCAAAAGGTTTTTTTTTGTTTTGTGAAGAATGGTCAGTTTTTTTTTTACACCAAAAAACAAAATAGATACAAATAAATGCATGACGGATTTTTCCCTTTTCAATAAAATAAAATCTTTTTGCACATGTGAAATATATGTTGTTTGTGAAGCACTTAGTAAAACCTAAATATCTTAAAAGGTATTCAAACATGTCCAATATGTAAACCTAACATAGCTGAGGTGAAAACAACATTCATTACAGAGTAACCCCTACAAATGACGAAACAAATTAACTGGACAGCAAAAAGGTAAATCATTACAAAATACGCAATATTTAAATACTTGCACAAAGTTGGAAATATTTATTCACATAATCGCATTTACAATATTTACAACAATGTGATGCATTCTCAAACAATCATTACATATTTATATTTCGATCACAAATATAAGTGCAAAATCCTTGCAAAGATTAACTGGAAATCAACTATAACAAAATTGAGTTTTGTTTTCTTAGTGAAACACTACAGATGTAAACATTTTCACTTGTACATATCACAAAACTCTGACTTGTTTATCATAAAAATAGCACACACAGAAATGTGTATTTAGGTGATTATTTCTTTGTTGCAACAATGCTTTTTGGTAATAAATCTCATACTATAGGAAAGTCTATTTTCCCTTAAACGGCGACACGCCTAATGAAAACAAAACAAAAACAATGTACTTGTATGTATTTATGTATGTATGTATGTTTGTTTACTGGCTAAGCTGCAGAGTTGAGCATGTGGGAGTCTCATATCAGTCTGGGACCAAACTTGTTCCACCCAGATAACAACACTCACCCACACATCGAAAGGTTTATCAGAGGTTGAGGACCACCTGCTTGCAGTCCTGACCTCGACCTTCTGAACACGTCGGCTCATGTTGGGCGAGCTGTTAACTAGAGTTACCAACAAAACCACTCATGCTCACATGCAACCTATGCCAGTATGCCAGTAGTACAACAGCATGCCATCTAACAGCAGTGTGTCCAAGTTGCTGAGCAGCATGAGGACGAGGTGCCAGGCTGTTGTGACTGGGTGGGATTATTTCACGTGCTACTGAGGACCCTGTACTCAACTCTGCTGCTCAACTCACAGATGCATTCTCCTAACAACTATAGCACCATTTAAGGGTAAATACACAGGATTTTTTTTAACTATGAGATTTATTGCCAAGAAGCATTGTTACAAAAATAAAAATAAAAAAGTCAGCCAAAAACAAGCAGTTTATTTAAAATATCATCCAAATGGGTTGCTTTTATTTATTTTTATACAAAGGTATTGTTTACTTGGCATATTTTCAAAATAAACATTTTGTAAGTCTTCATCTTGGTCCTTTTTTTTGTACCGAAAATGAACCGAACGGAGCCCTCCTTGAAATTGAACCGAACCGAAATGTGATTTTTAGCGTACCGTTACACCGCTAGAATACAGTGCTTATAAAAGTATCTTGGATATTTTATTGCTTTAAAAAATGTTAAATATTTATGCGATTACTTATTTACATGACATATTTTTATTTTATTGGCATTACTCTGTAAAACAGTGATTTTATTTTGACATTAAATGTTTGTTTTTTTTTAAGAATGGAACAAAATTTTACAATTAGATAATAAAAGATTAAACTTTTTTCTCACTTGCAAAGTTTCAGAAACTTAATCAGCAAACAGAGTCACAGTTCCTGTTTGACAAACTGCAGTTTTAATAGAGGGATGTTTCTATTTTTTCAACTCACAATGCAGTCAATAATAAGAAAATAAATGTTGCTGTGGTTTTAAGAATATACAATACATGAATGATAAATTAGGAAAAGTCTTTCAGAAGATACACATAAATAAACCTGGATGAATACATCTGATTTTGCTTGTACAGTTTAACGTAGCTGGTTTTTCACTTTTCTCCATCCATGGTTTCTTGAGCTGCAGCGTGAAAATAAAACAAAACAAACAAAAAAAAAAAAAAACACTTCAAGCTTCACACCGTCTAGGAAACCTCCTGATACTGAGACACTGATGTCACCCTCATACGGTTGAGCTGGATCTTGTCGTACACTGTCAGATGCTAGAAGGTGAAGAAAAAAAATCATTAGTTTTACAACAAGACTCAAGATTGTGCTGATACAGAAAACATCAGGAACACACGTGATCAGCTGAGAAATTGCTTTAGTCACGGGTTAAAAAAAGAAACTGAAAACAAAACTTCCCCTCGTCCAACAACCTGATCTTAGGTCAAACTTCCCTTTTATACGAAACCTTAGCTCCTTTATACTCTGATGCTGCTCAGTAATCCAGGTAGATAAATACACTGTAACAAGGTTGAGTCAGGTCCTCTGGATGGATGGAAAGTCCAGAGGACCTGACTATGTTAGTCTTAGCTACCTTAGTTTCTAAACCTTAGTCCTGTGGACGTGTTCAAGTGATTCCACATCCGGCCCTGTTAGCTAACATCCCTTTAGTTTTTAGCTGTTGGAGAAACTAGTCAGACTGCAACAAAAGACTCTAATAGATCACAGCTGAACTGGAGTCCCAACAGCTTTTGGCTTATTATATGAGCCGAACATCTACACTTAACTCTTGGAAAGTCCCTCTGCTTTATGACAATAAGTTGTTCCCTATGGGAAAAATTGACCCCCTTACTTAACTGCTTAAAAATGCCCCCCCACCCCCCCCCCCCACACACAATAAACCATCCAGTCTTTTAGATCTATCCCAGTCTGAAATAAAAACATCAAATTGAAATGGCTTAATTTTTAAAACTATTTTTTAATCAGTCTTTTATTTTTATTTTATTTTTTCAGAACACACACACAAACAAAAACATACAACAAAATCCCCTCCAGCCTACCCCCCCCCCCCCCCCACACACACACACACGAGATCAGCTACACAGACATGCATACACCAGACAGGCATCCACACAAGACAAACTTGATCTCAGATTTACACCATACACAGGCATTTTTGACAATTACACATTAATATCTGGTGAAATACTTTCAATATACATATTTTACAAAATGGCTGCCAAGTGTCTCAAAATCTCTCAACAGATCCTTTCAGAGTATATCTAATCTTTTCCAAATGCGTATGACACATAACTTCTCTTTTCCATTGATCATATGCCAGGAGATGCAGAGCTTTCCAAATGCAAAAAATAATTAATTTTTAAAACTATTTAAGGGCGTTTTAGTTTTAAAACACTCCACATTTTAATTTAGTTTTAACTGAAAAAAAATTTATTCTATGAAGTTTTATTTATTAATTAACAAAATACATTTTTCCCCCAATAGCATTTTCTCTTTATATCCAAACAAAAACGATTTTGTCAGACCAGATGACGGGACTCGACAGCAACATCCAGCTGGAACAGATGTATCTTTATCGTGGTAAGTCGAAGACCACCCTGATAAATCTTATTCAGAGGCTCTCAAATGTAAAAAGCAAAGCATCACCGAGTGAGCTAATATAACAATCGAGGAAAAGGCAAAAATCATTGTTGACAGGAATGTATTATTTTATCATTTGACGATGAATGGATCAGAAAAGGCATTTATAAAGAATTTTCTATATGGTAAGTTTTTCCCCTCGGGAACACGAAAGCTTGGTGAAGTCACTGTGACTGGTTATAGAAACGTTTGAAAAAAAAAAAATCTGATAAAATAGGAAAATTTGAGGATTTTTAGGCTTTGTCAGGAACAATTATGGTTACTGACAGCACAAAAATAAAATAAAATAGAACATAAAAACACTTATAAAAATAATTGTGGCTGATTTTGCAACACTTTCCAAGTTATTTAAATAACAAAAAAATTAACTATATAAGAAGCCAAATTTATTCATAAGAACACATTTATTGTTGAACAAATTATTGTTTAATTTTGCCAGATAGGGCCAAAATGTGAGCAATATATTATTCCTACTATTGCATTGTTTTAGAAATCATAAAGGTCACTCACCCCCTGTGGGACTGCAGCTTGTGTTCTGTTTTGAATCACGTCATACAAGGAGCAGGGTTTCAAGTTATCTGAAGTTCCCTGGAAGTGTTCAAGAATCAACAAAAAAAAGAAATCGTAAAACTTTTCCAGGCAGAAAAGTATTTTCAAGAGCAATTTATTCACCTGTTCCACTGCATACTCTGAGATGTCTGCATAAACTGTGAGTTCATTTGAGTCACTGCCTGGAGGCAAAAACAAACAGTAAATATTAAAATAGTAAGCGTTGAAAAAAGTGCATCACTCAGTAATGATAAATCAAGTTAAGTATTCAAAGTTTTTTTTACCTGCCCGCCTTCGTTTGCAGAGACAGACAGATGTTGTTACAATAATTATGAGCAGAATCAGCAAACCTCCAGCTGCAGCAAGGATCCCCACAAACTGTTTGTCTGCAATCATTGATGGTTCCAATATTTAAAAAAAAAGCTTCAATAAAACAAATTAAGCACACAGAAAGAAAAACATATCTGCAGATGATGGTCTTTTTAAGATCACCTCTACATCATCATTGTATTCTATTCTTCTTCTGTGCTGCATTTCAGTTTATTGTTAATCAAACTGACAAAATTTGTGACAGACGTTGATTTTTCTTGTTGTGAACTCTGTATAAACATGTATTACGCACCATTTAGTCAAAATAAAGGAAGGACACAATCAGGATGACATTCAAAACTGACTTTTGGAGTTTTCATGCAGAAAAACTAACATTTTACCTTCAAGTATCACTTTTCTAAACATACTTTTATCAGACGGTTGGTTGCTGCACATCACTGTTGTGGACTCTGACATGTGACTAACAGCATTAGACACCGTGCAGGTGAAGGTGGTGGCTCCATCCTCAGGTCTGATGGTGTGCTGCAGACTGGGGAGTCTATGGGTGTGGTTCCCCACAGCCCAGCTGTAGTTCACACTGATGTCAGATGGTCCAGTGCACTCCAGAAAAACATCACAGGATCCATTCACAGCAGAGGGAAGGATTTTGTGAGTCAGGATGGGCTTTGTTCTGATGGCCTCTAATGTTAGAGAAGAGAATGACCGATTAGTGTTACGAAGATATTTAGTCAGGGTATTGTGGTGGCCACAATAACGAGCAGGAGAAATACTGCATTTAGAAACAACTACAACAGAGTTCTTAAACAAGGTTCAAAAGTGATTTATAGGTTAGGTAAAAGATTTGAAACAAAACTAGCTTGCAACTTATTACCAAGAGAGGTTCTGTTTTCCTACAAGTGTGTGCACCTAGGCTGCTCAAACATATGACAGTAGCAATTACTAAAAAAAAAAAATACTTGAATAATATAAATTTACTCATACGTGACAAAATAAAATGTCTTTCATCTTACAATAAATAAAAACACTGAATTTAAGGCAACATGAATTTGTAGCATCAAAATAATTGTGGTAAATGTTGCTGGTGAAGATTCTCAGTCATCCAGGACATGATGAATTCAAAAAGCGTTCAATATAAAAACAACTGGACTTTATTTGTAACAGAAGACGTTTCGCTCCTCATCCGAGGAGCTTTCTCAATTCAAAGAGCAGAGAGTGAGAGATTCAGGTTATAAGGCTGAGTGAGATAAGACACACACACACACATAAGACACACACACACACATATATGTAGATTGGCAGTTCACACCTGTAGATGAACAGATGCTGATATATTCATCAATTAAAACGGGTTCACTCATCTTTCTGGACTGGATAAAACGTGCATTGAATTCAATGAAATGTAACGTGAGACGTCATTTTTCTTTGACCCATCAAAATGAATGCGGTCATTTATTTTACAGAATCAAAGTTTAACATCAAACATTTACATTAATTTGGCAAAATATGAAAACAACAACATATAATTAATCAGTTTTACAACCAGGAAACCATACGGCCATGGTTTTCCGTTGCTTCACCACAGACATTATTGAAAACATCTGGATTAATTTTCTAGCAGAAAGGAGAGTTTAAAGATGGAAAATTGAGATTTATCTTACAGAGAGATGTGTGAGGGAATTTATCTGTTTTAACCAGAACGTGCACGCTCCTTCGGAACTCAGCTTGTCCCAAACAGTACACTTTTGGTGAAGGTCGACTTTTACCTTTTCTGAAGATAGATCAGTTCCGGTGTGGAGTCTCACTTCCAACCACTGTTCAGCGTCTCAGTGAGAACAGCCAAATACCTAGAGAGCCGTGCGAGGTTATCCAAACAGAAGTTATAATTCCCAAAATCGTCTCTGGTTCAGCTTGTTTGGTTTAGCAGCATCCATGAATGCCTGTGTTTTGCATTCATGAACTCCCAAACTCTCTGCATTCTGGATCCCAAAACTCTTGAACTCTTCTCCAGAACTCTACTGTTGAACTGGGAAGTTGCCACATTTAAACGGGCTATACTTCCGGTTCGTTTGAGAGCCTCTGATTGGTGGATGGACCAGAACATAGGTGTGGTTTGTGATGTAAGGTGTTATGGAAAGTCAAGGATAGAGATTAAGATTGTTTAAGAACAGACAGAAAGATTGTTGGAGAAAACCAGTCTTCGTGGTGCCACCTCTCCTGTATCTTGCTGTAAAAGTTAAACATGACATTTCTTTTCAGTAAACTTTCTAGTTGACCGAAGCTTGAACTTTAACACACTTACAACTTTGCTCACTTTCAAAGCAGACGATCAAGAAATTGAATCATTACTCTGTAATGTACTCTAACTTGATTTCACTGTGAATTGAGGAATAAAAATCATTACTACTGTTTAAGTAAATAAAAATGAGTAGTTCACTTCAACATGTAAACATTGTTTGAACTAACACGATTTGATTATCAAAACATTTGTAAAATAGTAATGATCATAGAGAATTGTCTTTTCCACTTGATTAATTCAAGACAGAAAGTCTCAGGATGGGTCAAACTGTATTTCTGGATTCAAATCAATGAAATGACAGTTTATGTCCATCTGGTCAGTTTTGACATCAGGCTTAGTCCACTACACACCTAAAAAAAAACCTAAACAGTAGGTCTTTGTTCCTCTAATTCACAGTCGAGGTCCCTCTGTTCCCATCAGGTGTGAAAACCGGCTGGGGATCTGTTTTAAAGTTGCATTATATGTGGTAAATGTTGCAAATGCACTGAGAGGTAAAATACAAAGTAACAGAAAATGGCACCGTGTGCTGCCAATGAGCTAAACTTTGGCACAAAAGGTGGAACATGGAGTAACTGACCAAACTGTTCATTTGTCGAGCAGCTTTGATGGAGCGTTTTATTACATTTATACTGAAATGCACTCACACATATATGTAAACCCAAACATGGGGACAAAATTAATATATAATACCCTCATCTTTGCCATCTACAGTGCCTTGCGAAAGTATTCGGCCCCTTGAACTTTTCAACTTTTTGCCACATTTCAGGCTTCAAACATAAAGATATAAAATTTTAATTTTTTGTGAAGATCAACAACAAGTGGGACACAATTGTGAAGTGGAATGAAATTTATTGGATGTGTCAAACTTTTTTAACAAATAAAAAACTGAAAAGTGGAGCATGAAATAATATTCGGCCCCCTTGCGTTAATACTTTGTAGCGCCGCCTTTTGCTGCAGTTCCAGCTGCAAGTCTCTTGGGGTATGTCTCTGTCAGTTTTCCACATGGAGAGACTGAAATTCTTGCCCATTCTTCTTTGTAAAACAGCTCGAGCTCAGTGAGGTTGGATGGAGAGCGTTTGTGAACAGCAGTCTTCAGCTCTTTCCACAGATTCTCGATTGGATTCAGGTCTGGACTTTGACTTGGCCATTCCAACATCTGGATACGTTTATTTGTGAACCATTCCATTGTAGATGTGGCTTTATGTTTTGGATCATTGTCTTGTTGGAAGATAAATCTCTGTCCCAGTCTCAGGTCTCTTGCAGACTCAAACAGGTTTTCTTCCAGAATGGTCCTGTATTTGGCCCCATCCATCTTCCCATCAATTCTGACCATCTTCCCTGTCCCTGCTGACGAAAAGCAGGCCCAAACCATGATGCTGCCACCACCATGTTTGACAGTGGGGATGGTGTGTTCAGGGTGATGAGCTGTGTTGCTTTAACGTCAAACATATAATTTTGCATTGTGGCCAAACAATTGGATTTTAGTTTCATCTGACCAGAGCACCTTCTTCCACATGTTTGGTGTGTCTCCCAGGTGCTTGTTGCAAATTTTAAACAACAATTTTTATGGATATCTTTGAGAAATGTCTTTCTTCTTGCCACTCTTCCATAAAGGCCAGATTTGTGCAGTGTACGACTGATTGTTGTCCTATGGACAGACTCTCCCACCTCAGCTGTAGATCTCTGCAGTTCATCCAGAGTGATCATGGGCCTCTTGTCTGCATCTCTGATCAGTCTTCTCCTTGTTCGAGATAAAAGTTTAGAGGGACGGCCGAGTCTTGGTAGATTTGCAGTGGTCTGATACTCCTTCCATTTCAATATGATTGCTTGCACAGTGCTCCTTGGGATGTTTAAAGCTTGGGAAATCTTTTTGTATCCAAATCAGGCTTTAAACTTCTCCACAACAGTATCTCGGTCCTGCCTGGTGTGTTCCTTGGTCTTCATGATGCTCTCTGCGCTTTGAACAGAACACTGAGACTATCACAGAGCAGGTGCATTTATACGGAGACTTGATTACACACAGGTGGATTCTATTTATCATCATCAGTCATTTGGGACAACATTGGATCATTCATAGATCCTCACTGAACTTCTGGAGTGAGTTTGCTGCTCTGAAAGTAAAGGGGCCAAATAATATTGCACGCCCCACTTTTCAGTTTTTTATTTGTTAAAAAAGTTTGACACATCCAATAAATTTCATTCCACTTCACGATTGTGTCCCACTTGTTGTTGATTCTTCACAAAAAAATTAAATTAAATATCTTTATGTTTGAAGCCTGAAATGTGGCAAAAGGTTGAAAAGTTCAAGGGAGCCGAATACTTTCACAAGACACTGTAAATGTTTAAGTCCAACTTAACTTTTTTTTGCACATTCAGATAATTGTGACGTGACATAACATTTTCTCAGCTGTTTTTTTTTATGACAGTGACAGCGAATGTTGGTCTATTTTGTTTGTCCAGCAAACTGTACTCTTCAACACCTTTTTAGCATTTAGCTAACTTACTAATTTTGACACAGATACAAACAAATATGTTATCATCTTTCACCCTCTTCTACCTTTTTGGGACGTGGGGATCACTGGTGCCCATATCCAGCTATCCCTGTGAGAGGCGAGGGACACCCTGGACAGGTCTCCAGTCCATCACAGGGACACATAGAGACAAACAAAACAAACAACCATTCACTCTCTCACTCACACCTAGAGACAATTTCTTCTTCTTTCAACTTTTTCCTCTTCAGGTGGCACCACTGTGACTCATCCTCCTCCATCTCACTCTGTCCTCTGTGTCTTCTGTTTTCACTCCATCTACCTCCATGTCCTCTAACTGCATCCATATATCTCCTCATTGGCCTTCCTCGATGTCTTTTTCCTGGCAGCTGCATTGTCTGGCAACCTTTTCGCTGAGAGGTGACAGAGCCACCATGCCCCCACAGACCCACACGTGGTATTTATTTCTGTTACTGTAGCTTACACTGTACATTTACCGCCAAAAATTCAGCCTTTCAAAGTTAATTTTCTTTGCCTTTCTCATGTCTTCTGTGCACACAGGCTGGATCCTGGATACTAAGTCCCTCCATTTGCAACTGAAGGGGCTTCCAATATGGGCTTTGCTCTGGATTGACATGCCGTGTCTGGCCATTAAGAATCACTGTACTAAAAAGCAAACAATTTATTTAATTTATTATTTCAACAAGTTGTAACACGTTTTGTTATGGCACATATCTTTAACAAACATTTTATCTACTTTACATCATGAAGAATAACTGGGGTGCATAGTGATACAATGGGTGAGCACTGTTGCGTCGCAACCATGGTTCATGGTCCTCTTCTACGTCAAATTTAAAAAAAATTTGAGGGAATTCAAATATTTCCATTTGAAAAACCTTACAAAGTTCAAGGTTTAGAAATGAGCCTTTGGCTAGAACACCTATGCACAGAGTAACAGCAACATTTGTGTTAATCATTGGTGTTTTTGTGTTTTTGCTTGACTTACAGATCAGACTGTATACATGCTACATACTCAAATCTACATGAATTGCTTAGACATTACTCATAAGTTTTAGTTAATTAATAACTTTTTTGGATACAGATACAATAACTTACCATGAACTTGCAGTGTAATTGTGACTGTTGGTCTTTGTGCGTCTTTGACTTCTGATTGAAACAGAAAATCACCAGAATCTTGAAGAGTCAGTTTTCTCAGAGTTAAACTGAGGGTGATATTGTTGAACTCTACTCGGCCTTGAAAATGATTGTCTTTAGTAATTCCTGTATCTTTGAGTGCAATGGTAGAGTTTTTATATTTCCATGTTGCATCAGTGATCCATTCAGTTGATACATTTGGTGAAAGCTCCACAGAGTCTCCAACATTTTTACTAATGACCCGATTTCCACCAGAAGCCTCCGCATCTGAAACACACAATTAGACAGAAAAATGACATGAGTGCTTATTGCCAGTATTGTTTATTAATGTCCTGTCTCCACTAAGAACAAAGTTCCTAAGCTTGACCACACATATTTAAGCTGCTTTCCAAAAACATGTACTGTGAGCACAGTCAGCCATCAGCGGTATGATGGTGGACTTCTAGAAAAAACCAGCGACAGTTTCACAATTAGGTAGCTCAAATGAAGCAGACAGAAGATTAGAGGAACTAGCCCTGACAGTCAGATACATTTTGGGGTTTCATAGCAAATTTGTACAAAGTGTGAATAACTGATTAAATGAGAAGCTATTGATCTACTAGATGAAGGTGAAACAAATTAAATTACAAAGTTACTCTGTATTTTGCTTTTGTGGAGAAGAAGGCAGATCTGACATGTTTGGTTTATGGCTGTGATAGCATGAACTCAGATTAAATAAGCCTTCATGTCTGATCCAGAGGTGTTGAACAGAGACTAAGATTCAGAATCAGAATAAACTTTATTATCAATGCACCGAGTACAACGAGAACATGTACGTACAGTCGTCTGAAAGATGGGCGGAGTGCACGAAGCTGCTACTATAAAAAGCGTGGCCCTCATTATTTTTATTTAGAATAATACTTTGCTTAGATGAGAAAAGGGAAGAAAACATGAGGGGAGTTGGTATAAAGAAAGATCTCTCACACCGTGTCCTAGACAGGACACGATTTGAGGCATCAAAAAACCTATGTAGTGAACTAGGCCTAAGGTCAGGATTTGACCTTAAGGACCATATGGGACAGAAGCTGTCATTTCGTTGATTTGAATCCAGAAATACAGGTTGACCCATCCTGAGACTTTCTTTCTTGAAAATTCAAGTGAAAGAACACTCTCTTTTCTATTATCATTACTATTTTACAAATGTTTGATAATCAAAGTGTTTTAGTTCAAACCATTTTAGATGTTGTAGTGAACTAATCATTTTTTATTAACTGTGAAACAGTAATAATGATCTTTAATCCTCATGCAAAGTTAGAATTCATGTTAAGGTCTGTTACAGAGTAATTATGCATTTTCTGATTTTCTGTCTTTGAATGAGCAGTGTAAGTGGTCCAAGGTCGGAGTCAAACGCAGACCAGTTGTTGGAACGAGCTGTCATGTTTTTACATCCTCTCAGACGTAAATAGAGAAGCTGGCACCTGTTGGCACCTGTTTTTCCGCCAACTCGTCCAAACATTTCTCTCTCTGTCTCTAAAACATTTTCAATCTGTTCCATAACATTCTTGCTGTTTTTCTGACTTCTAGTGACCTCTTACGTCACAAAACACACCCCTGTCTGGTCGATATTGACCAATCAGAAACTCCCAAATGAACCGGAAAAAGAGCTCTTTAAAATGTCGGTACTTCCTAGTTCAAACAGGTGTCGGGAGAGTGTCGAGAGTCGTGTGGAGTTTCCAGTCGGGTCGAGAGTCGAGTTTGGAGTCGTTGCAGCTCCCGTGCTGGGAAACAGGAAGATCCTGACATGACCACAGAGCTCTTCCGAGTCTTATGGGATTATAACATCTTCCACCTCTGAGTGGAACTTTTGAAGGACTCCACTCATGTGAGTCCACCGTGAGCTGAACTGTTGTTGACGAAGTCGCGTCACCACTCCGGACGGTTCTCTGCCATCCTACGGAGACGCTGGACCGGTAGCGTAACCGGAGCTCCGCTTTCACTGATTCATCGTCAGAGAGGTAATGAGTCGAGTTGACTACCGAGCGTACCGAGGAAAGCTGGGTCGAATGGAGGGTGTCGTTCTGTCCAACACTTTTCACTCACACACACACCATCTCTCTCCCTCTAAACTTCATCTTTCCATCTTTAAAATTCTTCTATCAAGTAGAAATTAATCCAGATATTTTAGAAATGTCTGTGTAAAGTTCTCATCCACCGCCGTGTGGTCAATCAAAATTGTACAGCTTGCTAAAATTAGCCATGTTGTTATTTTCCATATTTTGCCAATTAATGTAAATGTGTGATGTGTTAAACTTTGATTCTGTTAATAAATGACCCACTGTCGTTTGGTGAGTCAAAGATAATTAACGTCTCACGTTACATTTCTAAATTCAATGCACATTATATACAGTCCAGAAAAATGAAAGAATCCTTTTAATTTATGAATATATCTCATGCATATGTTCACCTACACCTACCACAGCAAAGCAACATAAACAGACGTTATACATTTACATACAGTATAGGCGGTGAAAACTGAATTTTTAAGGGAAAGTCGTAGCATAGTCCAGAGCCCCCCCTCAGCCATTGTCCAGATAAGAGGTGTTATTCATCATCAGCTCGGTTGAGGTTCTGTCACATGTCCATGACCTTGGGGAAGGGAGGGGTGAGGAGACAGACAAAGCATCTTTGTTTTTTCTAAACATGCCAGGAGGAGTTGAGATAAGTCCGCCGTCAAGGCCACAGTTTGGGTCAGGCAGAACTCGTGAATTGCTGTTTCTGCCTTTTAAAGTCTCGCTGGTACATATTCTCTGATGGAAACTCCAAACAGCCGAATTGATTCCTCATGCCGAAAGTCGAGCTCACAGCTTTTCCAAGATTATTCCCACCTTCATGTGTGCTGCTAGAGTCCACAGTCCTGATAACAGCTGCTCCTGCTGTCTGACGCAAAGGCACATAATTCAGTCTGAGTGCTGTCAAGCTTCAACACATCCACACAAATTTGTAGACAATCTAGAATTCACCAGCCAAACAGCAAAAAAACCCCAAAAAAACAGTTGTCATGAATCCAATTTTTTTCCGTCGAGGTAAGAGGGTCCTCCTTACCCTGACTCCTGTCAGGAGAAGTTGATCAATTTTGTTGAGAGACCAGCTGATCCTTCGAATTAGGAGGTATGCAGTGAAAAAAAAGAGGCTTTTTAAGGGTTCACAGGATGAAAGAGTGCAAGCAGGAAAGTGGGGGGTACGGAGCACGTCTGACTTCACCAGAGTACAGAGAGAAAAAATAATCTGTTTATTTAAGTGCAGCTTTATGTCCAATCTATGGGATTTCAGTAGTTTTACCATCTGCAGTTCTTCTTGTGTCAGGAGGCAGGTCCTCATGAATTACAGCTGAAACCAATATGAATGAGGAGCTCCAGAACTACTTAAGACTTCTGCAGTGTTCCTTCCAACGATAGACCGTTACAAACTAACTGGTATGGCGTCAGCCCTTTATGAGTTTCTAGAAATCAGAATCATACTTACCAGTTTTCGCTTTCAGGTTTTTTTCAGCATCTCCTTTGTGAAACAAGTCCTGAACTTACCTGAGTACCTCCTGAGTCTCCATATTGGACCAGCCCATTAAATAACCTATTGACACCTGTCTGCCTATTTACTCACCTGAATCCCCCAACCCTCCTCTCTTTGTGGACCAACTTACAGAAACTGTAAGAACACATTCCAACAATTTTCAGTCAGGTCATCTGGACAGTTTCTTTTTTTTTGCGCTGAAACGTTTCACCTTCCATCCAGAAGACTTCATCAGTCAGGAAACGCACAACACAAAACTGATTCTTCCCCCAACAGCTTACTCCAAAGTGGAACAAACCAGTTATGTTGGTGCTGAGATGGTCTCTTTGGCACACCCCCTCCTCTGGTGCCGGCCCTCTCCCTCATCGACAGTCATGCCAAACTGGTCCAAACCAAGGAGTAAGCTGTTGGGGAAAGAATCAGTTTTGTGTTGTGTGTTTCCTTGACTGATGAAGCCTTCTGAATGGAAGGTGAAATGTTTCAGCACAAAAAAAAGAAACTGTAAGGATGACCTGACTGAAAATTGTTGGATTGTATACCTGTATTACTGAGCATGGACTTAGTTGAAAGAACACATCTTTCAGAGTAATTAGACTCTAGCTACCTCGGCACCTACTTACATGCGATCCCTCCATTTCAGATCCTCCCCACAGTCCCATGTACACATTTCCCTGAATCACTTGTAAATTCTCAGGTCTCTCTTGTAAATGAGTCCCCGAAGCTCAATGTGATTAAACTGTATAAATAAAGGTTGAATGAAACAAATAAATAAACTTCACATTTTTGTATTCAGAGTTCGAGTCTGATTCTTCTCAGTTTCTTGCTCTGGTGTTATGAACCCTACAATTATGATACATTCAAGATTCACTCCATGTGTTGCAGTTTTTAAGAACTTTCCGCAGCTAATAATTCCAAGAACATAAAGATTGTCACATCTTGTTACGTTTTCTTCTAATTACTCAGGATGGAAATACAACTACAACTATGATCATGGACAAAAAATACAGTCACATTAATAACATTGCATGTGTGATTTGTTTATGTAAATTTACGCAACACCGTAACCAAAAACAAGTGGGTAAAGTGGTTTGAAAATTTGTGAATCCTTTACTCTTGTCTATATTTCTGCATAAAAATGCCCTAAAACATCATCAGATTTTCACACAAGTCATAAAAGTAGATAAAAAAGAACCCAGTTAAATTCAAAAAGCGTTCAATACAAAAACAACTGGACTTTATTTGTAACAGAAGATGTTTCGCTCATATGAGGAGCTTTCCCAATTCAATGAGCAGTGAGTGCAGGGTTCAGGTTAAGGCTGATTGAGATAAGACAAACACATGAAGATTTGACAAGTCACACCTCAACACCTTAACAGTAGGGGTTTCTTAAGGTCTTTGTTCCTCTAATTCACAGATGAGACCCCTCTGTTCCCATCAGATGTGAAAACCGACTGGGAATCAGTCTTAAAGTTGCATTATAAGTTTTTGAAAGTGGAAATCTGAGGCCTCCTCCTCTGTTAAGAGATGTTTTTTCTCTTTTTACATAAATTGCTTCCTTCACCCCCCTCTCAAACCATCTGTGTTCTTGGTCCAAAATGTGCACATTTTGGTCCTCAAAAGAGTGTCCCTTATCTGTGAGGTGGAGGTGAACAGCTGAATCTTGTCCTCTCCTGTGTTGAGCCATGCGTCTGTGAAGAGGCTGGTTAGTTTCTCCAATGTAGAGGTCTGGACAGTCCTCGCTGCACTGGACCGCATACACTACACCACTCTGTTTGTGTATGGGTGTTTTGTCCTTAGGATGGACCAGTCTCTGTCTGAGAGTCCTGCTGGGTTTGAAATGTACTGGGATCTTGTGTTTGTTGAAGATCCTTCTGAATTTCTCTGATACTCCAGCAACATAAGGGATGACGATGTTTTTACGTCTGTTGTTCTCCTTTTTCTGTTTATTAGTGTGTTTTGTAGATTTCCTCGCTGACTTGACAAAAGCCCAGTTAGGATATCCACATGTTTGAAGAGCTTCTTGTGTTAGGATTTGTGGTCGGAGCGAACCCAGAGTGCAGAACAGGGACTCAACTCGGCAGATATACAAAAATAGGTTTTTAATGTTAAATGAAAAGTACAAAATAAACAAGCTGACGGGGCAGCAAAACTTACATAAACAAGGAGGGAGGCACGGGGAACTCAGGAGACACGGGGAACTCGAGGAATCAGGAAGACAAGGAGAGACTCAGGAGACTCAAGGAAGCGTACCCAACGAAGACGACCCGACAAAGGACAAGACAGAATAGGACTGCTTAAATACTTGGGGAAGACGAGACATGATGACAAACAGCTGGGATGAGACACAGGTGGCAACAATGGAAACTAATGAGGAGCACGAGGGAAACAGACACACCGGGCCACAGAAAAGTACCATCCTTACATCTTGGATGTGTTTCTGTTCCTTTTACTTCCCTTCTGTCTTCGTGGGGACACATTCGGCCCAATGCTGTAAAGTTCTGATGAGAGTTTGTGTTCCAGTGGATGGTGGGAGTCAAACAGAAGATACTGGTCTGTGTGGGTTGGTTTTCTGTAAACTTCAATGTTGAGGCTGTCCTCTCTTTCCATCTGAACCAAACAGTCCAAAAAAGACAGCTTGTTGTTGTTTGACCCATATGTGGATGACACCTGGGTCAAAATCCAAGCTAAAGAAATAGAAGCGTTCACCAGACACATTAACTCGGTCGATAACAACATCAAGTTCACCAGAGAGGATGCAAACGACAACAAGCTGTCTTTTTTGGACTGTTTGGTTCAGATAGAAAAAGAGGACAGCCTCAACATTGAAGTGTACAGAAAACCAACCCACACAGACCAGGATCTTCTGTTTGACTCTCACCATCCACTGGAACACAAACTCTCTGTCATCAGAACTTTACAACATCGGGCCGAATGCGTCCCCACGAAGACAGAAGGGAAGAAAAAAGAACAGAAACACGTTCAAGAAGCTCTCCAAACATGTGGATATCCTAACTGGGCTTTTGTCAAGTCAGCGAGGAAATCTACAAAACACACCAATAAACAGAAAAAGGAGAACAGACGTAAAAACATTGTCATCCCTTATGTTGCTGGAGTATCAGAGAAATTCAGAAGGATCTTCAACAAACACAAGATCCCAGTACATTTCAAACCCAGCAGGACTCTCAGACAGAGGCTGGTCCACCCTAAGGACAAAACACCCATACACAAACAGAGTGGTGTAGTGTATGCGGTCCAGTGCAGCGAGGACTGTCCAGACCTCTACATTGGAGAAACTAAACAGCCTCTTCACAGATGCATGGCTCAACACAAGAGAGCCAGCTCCACAGGACAAGACTCAGCTGTTCACCTCCACCTCACAGATAAGGGACACTCTTTTGAGGACCAAAATGTGCACATTTTGGACCGAGAACACAGATGGTTTGAGAGGGGGGTGAAGGAAGCAATTAAAAAAAAAAAGTTCAATACAAAAACAACTGGACTTTATTTGTAACAGAAGACGTTTC